AAACATTACAAACAAATACATTTGTTTAAAATATAGGATATGTCAAGTAAAACAAAACCTGACTGCATGTGACCAAATGTAAAAGTTCATTTCTGATGCAAAGATATATATAAAATTATTTAACAAATGAATAATAAGTTTGATAATAGAGCATTTACCTGACATTCATTTTTTGACATTGTTTAACACAGACAAATGGCGTAGGTGGTGTTCATGATATAATTTGTATTGTGCTCGCTTCTGCTAGCCACATATTCCAAGCAGAATAGCAGTTATCTAAGTACACAGGCATATAGTAGCGACGCTCAATCGTATATCCTTCCTGATATATTATATTGAGTTACTATTCGCGTTTATGTAGTAGGACTCGAACCCGCGACCCTCGACAATCAAGTCCGATGCTCTACCGCTGAGTTAAAGGGAAATTCCCTACAGCTTACGCTTGTAAGGCAACCTAATCAATGCACATCTTTTACACTATTCCCCCCTTTTTTCAATCACCAACCCAGGTTCTTTGTCTCCCCGCCAAGGGTTCTCCTATACCTTGAACAGGGAGGGCCAACGGCACCAGTTTGTAGTAGGACGAGAAATAGTGATAAAGATAGTGCCGTCGCTGGGGCTCGAACCCGCGACCCTCGACTCTCCAGCCCGATGCTCTACCGCTGAGCCAAAAGGGCAATTTCCTACAGCTGACGCTTGTAAAGCAACCTTATTAATGCACATCTTTAACATATATGTAAAATATGAAATGCTTCAACCATGTATATATTATCATTTTGCACTGTTTCAAATCGGAAGAATTTCAACGAAGAACTGAAACTTTGTTTACAAGGAGACAATTCTGAAAACGTAAACACAATATGAATGAAATTCATGTTCCGTTAATTACGTATGTACAGCAACTATGGACAGTTGATGATGTGAGTGTATGGTTGAACAAACCTGAACAAGTGATATCGATCGAGTCATAGTCTTTCTTGGGTTCATATAACCACTTATTTACCGAAACAAAAGTCATAAATTGTTAAATTAATTGATAAATGATGTTTCAATAATGAAACAAATTGGAAAGTATGAAAATTGTACGGAATAAAACACTTTTTTTTTGACAGAAATCATAGTGAATTTTCAATTGAAATGACGATAACAAAGTGAATATTGGCCTACTGTTCCTAAAAATAGTAACACCGAGTCACTATTACAAATGACCGACCTCCACGTGATTAGGATTCAACCAATGACGTATATAACAAAATGTGTCATCTAATATTTATATCATTGTATTTAAATTAAATTGGCAACGAATCCGTAGCAAGATTGTTTACGTAATGTATATTAATCATCATATTTCAATGTGATATAACAATATTTCTAATGTAAGCGTGATTGATTTATCTTATCAAGTTATCATTTTTAAGGGAGGACAACCTTTAAACAACCTATGACAAACTTGATTTTGCTTGTTTTATTATGATTCTGTGTTATTTACGTCATATGGAGATTTTGTCCTCCGATAGGATTGCTTTGCCAATCAAGGGCAACTAAAAAGTGTCATCGCAATGAAATTTCTAAACACAGATTCCTTTTTATGACACTCCTCTCGTTCTCATAACTCTGACAGCAGGCTAACTAGGGGTGCTTTGGGTGACAGCAGCGAAGAAAAGGAATAGTTAAGGAAATGTTTTGGATGTGACACCAAGGAAGGGAATCAAATTATTTCTGAAGGATGTTTGATATAGGTTTCTTGTTAAGATAGTGCCGTCGAATACAATAAACCGTCCTCGTTTAACGTCTATAAAGACAAGGGAGAGGATATCTTATGTAATAAATATGCAAGACCACACACTTGTGTTTTTCTAACAAATCAGAAAGCACGAGTTCATTGCGCAGACGAATATATACGTCCGCGCAATAAATGAGTGCTTTCTGATTCGTTAGAAAAAACACAAGTGTGTGGTCTTGATTTTATCACATACCTTTTGTATTTGGTAGAGATCGATACACAGATTATATAAACTTTGATATTTTTTGCAAATAGCGGGAACTTTTCAGTTTGCCATGACAAGGGGATTCCAATAAAAAATAGTTCCGGCTAGTAGGATAATACAACATTCCGTATTGCACATGTGCAATACAGAACGTTGTATTTCATGGTCTGTAAATTGCTTTTATTACTTTAACAAGATTCAACAGGTATTTGATAAATCAAAGTATCGAATTCAGTGAGAAATAACTCATTGTCATGTTGTTGTTTTTTTATAAAACTTGAGCAATACATCGCTGTGTACATAATGTTTATGGCATGAGGCGTACTTGTGCATGTATATATTGATGGTGAGGGATCTGCGGGGATTTTTAAGACAAAAAAGTATATTTTATTATTCAGAACTTCCTAAAATGTGACAAACATCAGTTTGAAATCTATATAACATATCATGTAATGAGAAGTTAAGAAGTTGAGAAATAATAATATCTTAGACCGTGAATATTGAATAATTTTTAATAACTATTCATATTGCCGTCACAACCACCGAAACACTATTCCTGAACACTATTGATCCCAATTGTTTGCCAAGTATGAATGCCCTATCACTCAATTGTGTCAAATAGTAGTATAATGTAGAAAGGGAATAAGGCTTAGCATGCCAACCTTGTAGAACTAAAGTTGCAAAAGAATACATAGTAAATACTACTGTCTGAAAGATAAGACTTAACTGTATAGTATTGATGTAATAATATATCACTAGCAATATAATATGTGCCAAGAGAGGCGGATTAGGACTAAGCCTGCCAACCCTGTAGAAATACGATGGACAAAAAATACATAGTAAATATAATTCGTTAAAAGTAAAGGTTTTAACTATATACTGTTGATGTAGTTATGTCAATAGCAATAGTATATATGCCAAGAGTTGTAGGAAAGGGTACGATATGGACAGACCTCGAGTGTCGTAATATGTACAGAAAATCAATAAGTTTCCACCTTAGATGTCACAGAAATCCATCCCTGTATTCAGTAGGGGGTCCTCCTTAATGACTTCCTAGCGATGCTGTAGATCACACTTTCTTTCCCCAACACCTAACAGTGTTATGCTTTCCTTGCACTGCTCAGTTAGGCCTACCCCTTCAGAGAGGAGAGAATGAAAATGAGTAAACAAAACAAAACCAATCAAAAACAAAAACAAAACCAATTAAAAACAAGACAAAACCAATGAAAAACATCAATTAAAAAACAAAACAAATCAATGAAAAACAAAACAAAACAAAACGATTCAAAAAAACAAAACCAATTAAAAACAAAACGAATCCAACTAAAATGTATTTTTCAAAAATGAAAATATCATGTAACATGTCATATCGATAACATTGCATAAAATAGCATAGTGATTGAATGTACCTAATGGAGTTGTCTGCTTGTATACAATTTGATATAGGACATATACTGTGTATACTTGAACAATATCCCGACATAGATCAAAGCAGGATTTCCCTCATCAGCATATCATTCTCTTCAATTCGACAATGATAACCATTGATATCATTCACACGATGGAACGAAACTAATAAATACAGCACGCTTTAACATTAAAGCATTTTTTTAAAGTCATATCATTGTATAACGAACGATTCCCAATGCCGGAGTATTCCTGACACCTAGTCTTAGATATAAACACCTACAAGGCAATAACGAATATTCTAGTACAAAAATTATAATAAAAACGACTATTGGAATGCATATCAAACATTGCAGGTATTTATTTTAAATGTAGGATAGTTATACTTGTGCTAGTTGATATAAGCAAAAGACAAGGAAGGATTTCAGTCAACTAAATCGGAAAATGTTATAAAAATGTTTGACATTTAAAAATAAAATAACATGGAGATGGTTTAAGGATTATAGCATCAAAACCAAAAACAGAATTATTAACATTCATATGGGTTTTTTTTAGAAATAGCATCAGCGTTAACGATCCATGCGTCTGAGCAGGTTTCAAACAACTCGACCAAAGAGGTACATGCATCAGTACTTTACTGAACTATTTTTAAACTTGTGATTTCATTTCAATCCTCTTTAGGTAGCAGTGTACAGTAGAGGGTTGTGGCCATGGGTGATATTTTTGTTAAATGGCTTACCCCTGTATAATGATATGTAAAAAAAAATATGAAAATAAAACTGTACTAAAATTGGTATAAGCATGATGAAGAGGGCTATGTGAGCTTCACATTTGTAAAAAACAAAAAATACTTTTTTGGTTCGAGAATAAAAGTATGGCCATAATCCGAAAGGGTGCCTACACATGAAAACCTAGCTTTACAGGAGGTAACATTTTGACAACAGCACACGACGCAAAAATTGCAAAAAATCAGGTCGTACAACTTTACTGGGACCCAGATTATTCTGCAACCAAGTAGGTAATCTTTAATTTTCGACTGAACTTAGGAAAAAAATACTAGTTGCGGGGGTCAAATTTTGGGTCAAAAATAGCATGGTTTTCACACAAATGACATACATAGAAAAAAGAGGTTGATATACTTCTCAGTACTTTATATGTATTGTAAATATAATGCAGTTTACAAATATATCTACATGTATATATGTGTTGTGTAGGGTAAATCCGCTGTGTTTTACATTTCCTCGACATGTGCCTTGTTTTTCAGAGTCGGGCCATTTCTACTGTACACTGCTACCTTAAACCAAAAAAAAACACCTAATCAGAATCTTAAAGTCTGACTGGCGATAGTTCCGAGGACTAAATAAGGAACAGAAATTATTTTTAAAGGAAATCCAGGATCAGAAATTGACATCGTAGGAAGCTGGAATGGGAAACCAGAGTAAAACTACATTATTTGGGACTTGTCTCTACAATAAGCGCTGTGTCGCATAGCCACTCCAACCTCTAGGACCTGCTTCAATCTAGACGGCGGATCGATCACAAACAGCTCGGAAACTCACCGCATTAGTTTGAAGCAAACCCAGCACTGAACCAGATGTGACCGTAATGTGCAACGTATCAGACACGACGACCAGCGTGCCCCCTGAGGACACGGCCATTAACAAAACAGCGGATAATTTCGATTTAATTGTTTTAATACCTGGGAGTATTTTTCTTTTAATTGATATAATAATTGTTGGCGGAAATGTACTTGTTTTAATGGCCGTTCATTGGCACCCAAAACTAAAGAAAAGCGTCACAACGTACTTTGTTATCAATCTAGCGTTCGCTGATTTATTGCTTGGGATAGTGGTACTGCCGTTTTCGGCAATTCTGGATGTTCTTGATTCCTGGCCCTTTGGTAAAATACTTTGCATAATATGGGCCCGTTTGGACGTGTTCTGTTGTACGTTGTCAAACTTGACACTCTGTGTGATAAGTGTGGACCGATATATTGGCGTCACCAGGCCCCTTCGTTACACCGTCATTATGACGCGACGAAAAGTCATCTTATTAATTGTGGCCGTTTGGATCTGCTCGGTCGCGATGACAGTCCCACCTTTGTTCGGGTGGGGGACATCTGCGCCCCCTAATCCTTCAATATGTTTCCATAATATGGATCCCGGTTATGTATTTTTCAGTGCGTTTGGTCTGTTTTTCTTACCAACAATCATCATGAGTTGTTTGTATTTACGCATTTTTCAAATAGTTAAAAGGAATTTACGAGCGATGAAATCTGGAGTAAAATCTATGGGTAGTGGTTCGAATGACATCAATTTACGTATACACAGAGCGAGACCAAAACGTATACATAATGTATCGGAAGGAAGAAACAATAGAAGTTTCATAAGTAACGGTTCGGATGATTCCGGAAGTGACATCAGCGTTATTACGGATGTGTCAAACACAACGGCACACATTTATGCCATTGCAGCAACGAAAACAAACGAAACAGACGTGGATATTCATATGTCCCCGGTTCACTGTGATATATCAAGGAATAAGAATGAAGCGGTGTCTTCCATGAAGAAAAGAATTGCTTGTTTTAAACAGGAGAACAAAGCAGCGATAACTCTTGGACGTGTAGTTGGCGCTTTTATCGTATGTTGGCTCCCGTTCTTCGTTTATCTCCCTTTGGGTAGGTATCAACTTACATCAGTTATCTTCCTTTATTTATATAGGGTGCACTCCACCAAAATATGTGTAAACTATAGCATTGTCATCATTTATCAAGTATAATAATAGTAATTGTTTGCTAAGCATGAAACTAGTACAGACAATATAGGATGCATCACACTAATTAAATAAACAACAGTCCTGTTATAATATTTAGCATTACCAAAGGTCACATTTTCAAGCTATTACGAAACATGCAGCCTTCTTCGAAAATATAGAAATGTTAATCAAAATAAAACTTAAATGTTAGATCAACGAAATTTCAAAAATAAAACAGCGTGTTAAAGTAATTTTGTGAAATGTAGCGTTTTGAACAAATTTCGATGAAACATGACGAAACAATGTCTTCTATCTATCACTGAGCAGGAGTCTAAGGATCGAAAGAATGAATACCTATGTCTTAAGTGTATAATCATGGCAAAAAATGACACATTTACACTATTTGGCTAGATTAGACATGTTATTACTTAATAAGCATTCATGTAGACCGTGTCAAATCATAATTCAACAAACAACGTTAAGGCCAATATCACCATCCAACCAGGATAGTTATCTTCCGTGTGACGTGCAATTATCTCTAAGCTATGAACGAGATTTGAAATACAATCATATAGACAGCCGAACAAAGCAAACATTTTACTATAGCATTTCAGATACTTGATGATATTCAAATATAACAAAAGAAAACAAATACTTCAGTCTGTAATATATTTAATAGGTCCATTTATTGATAAACAGTCTACATGTATGAACCCGTCTCAAGTAACGGCGTTTGTGTAGTCAACAAACAAACAACCACAGCTGTTGTACTTTATATATATATATATATATATATATATAAGGGCATGACATAAGTGTTGGACGTTACGTCATTTTCCCATTCGATTCTATGTTAATTTACTTGTCGAAAATTTCTTTTCCTGGCTTTGTTTTTAGTTAAAAACTGATGAAATTAAGCACAAAGCCAGAACATTTTCTAGTGCCTGTTGTGTTTATATTAATGTAATTATTTGTTTCGTGAAGTTCTAATCTTGATAATTTACTTGGCAAAAACGTTTTATGGTAATAATAGTAATATTGTGTCTAGTCTATGGGAATGACGTCAAATTGAAAAGTATGACGCTGCGATGAAAGGAGATATCCCAATATTAGACCAATGGATAATAACGTTAATATTGCTAGAGAAACACAGGATATTTCTCTTAAAGGATTTCAAGTTTTATCAAAAACGGATTTAAAAGAAAAATTGAATGAACATTGAATCCAATGGTGAAATGACGAAACGTAAATACTAAACAGTATATCTCCCAACGGGATGGTAAATAAAACATGAATCTCTCCTTGGTCTCCCATCTTGTTATCACAAAGGCATTATCAATATATTATTTTAAAAAAACATGCCGTCGACTAGCCATCGGCAAAAAATAGGACATGCAGTTTTGCTTGTATCTAATATACGTTTCAAATGAATTAAAAAATGAGGTACAGTAGTATTAAAAAACCTGCATGTTCGTTTCATTCAATATAGAACACAATGTCTTCAAGCAAATCATGATCGCAGGACATGAAACCTGAAACGATTGATTTAATAGGCTTTATTGAATATGATCTTTTTCAAGTACACTTCCATTTTTGATATATTTGAAGAACACATTTTCTTTATATTTACCAGATATTCTCCCTTTAGAATTACTTTTTTTCCTTCACTAGACCTTATTTATTAGTAAGTAAACTTCCATTGGTTCAACAAGTAAGGTGACATTCAGCAGGAGTGTCTTCAGCTATGTTTCAAACTATATGAAGTCGAAATCAATCTAATTTCTATTCATATCGTCTTATATTGCTCTAGAGCGATATTCCCTTCAGCCGAGTCAGTAGGAAGCGGATAGTAAATATCAGTTTGACTGACTCTCTCCTTAGATTACGTACACATTTATATAGCTTTATTTAGGTACCTTTATTTTAAGTTAAGATGCACTATTCCATAGGTTAAATGTCTGGGTGATCGTTACTCCAGTACCTTTGTCGGCAGTTCTTTGCGTGATTAAAACGGGCTAGAAAGGACTTTGCTTGTTTTAAAACTACGTCTGTGAGTGGATGAGCACTTTTTAAATGACATGTGACATCAGTGTTGTTCAACTGTGTTCAATCATTATCCATTGATGAAAGGCTGACTACCACGAATTCGTGTTTTAAATTAATGCAAAATAATGAAAAAGTAATCATGACTTTTTTTAAATATATATATATAACACAATACATATTTTGAGACAACATTATTGAATGGTTATGTGACCATTATTGTGACGTCACTTCCCTTTTAATGTTTTAACTTCACGTTGAATATATCTCTTTAAATATTGTCAAACAGAACGTTTTTTTTCTATTAACTACGTAGATTTTCAGTTTCAAGTTCAGATGAAGCGAGGCAGAATAGCGTTGGTTCAGAATAAACAACATTTGTCAAATGCGTACCTCTGGTACATTACTTACTTTTATTGTCCGGTACTAGTAAAGAGTGTCCTCTGGTCAGCATACAGCGTAACAAAGTGGGTACAAATAAAGTTCTATTACTATATTTCTCTCTGCTTTGTCAGTAATAACAAGTATTGTCCCTCTAATGATGCGTTGTATAGCTGCTAACCATCACTGTCTAGTGAGTTTTTGTCTGCGGGAATAATTGTGAGCAACTAATGAAAAATAGCCTATTAGACTGTCGTGCTCTGTCAAACAACCTTTTCATCTTGAGCTAATCAGTGCCAAAGCACTGTTTGTCCTAATCGCATGCATGTAAAATAAATATTCTTCCTTGAGGCAAATGATACATTCAATGTATTTAAACGTTTTCAGCTCTGTCATTTTTGCAATACATACTAGCTTGGTGAATTCGTCAAAGCCGACTTTAACTATAGCCAATGAATATGATAAAGGTAATGAAAAGAGACATTTGACACTTATCGGTCTTTTTGGGTTTTTTTTTTTTTTAATTTAAAGGGTTTTAAAGGATGTCTTTTTCCTTTCGAAAATTGATTGAATTAATGCTTTGGAATCATTCATTACGTAATCTATTGTAGCATGTACGTCATAAAAGTCATATAAGGATAAAGTACCAATAATTTGCGCATGGACATTTAATACTGTAATCATAAAGTTCGCGGATGCAGATTTTCTAACCGATGTAAAGCGTTTGTCAAAAACTTGTTTCAACTTTCGAGCCTGACGAAATCGTACATATGCATCTCTTTGTACCACTTCAGTTTTTTGGAGACAAAACGATACCGTCTGAAGTGCAATATTCCGCATTTTAGGAAAACATAATTTTGACTATTCTGTCTCACTGCATGATGCTAAGAGTGGCACAGCAACGTAAAACACTGTACAGCAATTACATTAAATTGTCAATAAGATGGACATTAAATAGAACCAGAAAATGTTATAAAGTTCCTGCAAAAGAGTTTGTATTTTTGGGGTTGGGGAAAACAGGAGTCTCAAAAGAAAAAATACCTAACAAATATCTAAGGCCGACCTGGCGACTGTCCCACGTAGACCTCAAACTCGCAACCCAATGGAGGAGGGCAAGTGATCGTAGACGGCCAGACGCCTTTTTTAATCTCTCGACCGCCGCGGCCCATGCTAGATTTGTATACCCTTTATATTCATACAGACCATTATATGCTGTTTTTGTTAAAGTAAACATTTGAAATTACTCCTAGTGACGTTGCCTAAAAGAATAAAGAAAACACGTATCATGATCTGTGGTATTATGAATTAAATCCTTGTGTTCAAATCCCAGTGAATTATGCATTTCTTTCATAAATATCCCTTAGCTATAGCGAATTAGCAAGTAATTTAAGTATAAAAAATGCAAAACAAATTGAAACATTCTTCATTGGAGATGCAATTTAGTATGTTTGCATTCTCTACCAGAGTTAGGTTTTCGAGAATATATGTAGATTTTTAAAGGTCATTTTATGCTTTGGTTATAACGTTTCTGGTATATTTGGCTCGAACTGAAGAGAGCACTTTCAAAATCGATAGGTGTAGAATAGGTTTGATCTCGTCACATGATTGGGATTCTTTGGATTACCATTTGCCATTAACACAGCAAGATATATTAGAGTATCGTCAGCAAGTTTTTATAGCAAAATGACAGTGTTTACCAGTTTCAATCACAGCATAAATCGTATGAAGTCCAACAGAGTATATTGATAAACTTACTGGCAGCGTCAATCTTATGGGTGTATTGTTTACACTAAATGCTGCGCCAATATTTTGATATCATTTTTGATGGACCTGTTACTGTCATTACCCATAAGAAATGTATTTGAGTATTTTTGCAGTATTTACAAAATTCTATAGTTATATTTAAAGACCTTGTAATCATCATGCTTTAATGCGACAATTTGGCTACTTCAATAACAAGACTCCCGGTATCGCTGGCAATATTTAAACAATTGAAACATGAATATCCGTTAGACTAAATCGATAACATCAGTGTGAGTTTTGATTTTAGTTCACTACATATGAAACATGACAGAAACGCAAAAGATATACCGATAAATTAATGTCAGCAACGAAGGAGAAAAACCGTAGTGAGCAAGCGTTAGTAGAAGTTATATTTAAATGAGGTCGATGTGATCATTTTCAAAGGTTGGTACAATGACTAGCGATTTGCTTATTTTTAAATAAATATCGATACCTTGTATTTCAAAAACGACAAAGTAGGATATTTTTGGTTGGAGTTTTATAACAGTGTATTCTGAAGAGAGGTTTTAACTCATCGAATAACTTATTATCTCTGTTTGCCCCTGTGTGAAACTTGTGTCTTTTAAACTCATAAATCGTCATCTATATGATTTCCCTGCGAATAAACAACAAGATATAATACCAAAGTGTCAACAAAACGATAATTCGAGCCCAAACTTAATAAAAACTATGGCACAAAAGAAAGATAAACCCTTG